GTATTGCCCTCATATGCAACTAGGCATGTTGTACAAACAGCTGCTCTGTTTGTATCGAACAGCGTTGATTTTAAGTTTCATTAAGTAGCCAGGCTCTATCTTTCTGGAGACTCATTCAAGCTTTTCGACATGTCTTACATATTAATTCATTAACTGGAATTCATTTGGGTGTGTTGGTGACATATATCAAGGGTAGGCTGACATTTCATAGTTAAATCACATCAGCTAAATTGCAAGCTGTGCATCTGGGCCTGCAATTCCGGCACAGGCCCCAGGCAACAGAGTGCCTTTTGTGGGGAACCAGCTCACCTATCACACTTGTAAATAGCAAGCTCTTTTCATCTGCAATTTAGGAAAGGAATAGCAAGCAAACAGGTAATGTTGTGTGGCATTGCATTTAGCAATACAGTTGTACCTTGGAAGTCGAACGGAATCTGTTCCGGAAAGTCCTTTCGACTTCCAAAACGTTCAGAAACCAAAGTGCAGCTTCTGATTGGCTGCAGGAAGCTCTTTCAGCCAGCCAGAAGCTGTGGAAGCCCCATCAGACTTTCAGCTTCCAAAAATAGTTCGCAAACCGGAGCAGTCACTTCTGGGTTTACGGCGTTCGGGAGCCAAAACGTTCAAGAACTAAGCTGTTTGAAAACCAAGGTGGAAATGTTCCAGAGATCCCTCTTTGGACTCTCAAATTCACCAGCTGTCCCCAACTCAAAAGAGGGACCTGGTTTTGGTGTAGGAGGGTTTTTTTAGGGGGTGAGGAGGTACAGTTGGGGAGGGAGCCCGCCCCCATCAAAAACCCTCCATGCGTCCACAACAGTTCCTTCAATTTGCAAATGTGCTCACAGAGCCCAGAAAGGTTGCTGACCCCTGGCCTAATAGGGTAGCCATTGTGCTGACCCTGCCAGATGTTACTGGAGCTGGAGTCCAATCAACCCTAGCCAGCAGGACCAATGGGCCAGGATGAAAGGAGCTGTAGTCCAGCAACACCTTGCTGCAGAATTTATAGTAGAAAATGTGTGAGCAGGGGAGTTGCTGCTGGCTTCTGGCCTTGAATCTGAGCCAACTACAGTATCATACAGAATGAAGTTCAGAGCACCGCCGTCATATGATTTCCTGGGTGGTGGTTGATGCAGTGGAACTTTGCATGGTAGGAAAGCTAGATCCATTTCTGTGGATATGTGAGAGATGTTTATTTAAAAGCCAATTTTTTTTTAAAAAAAAGAAAACAAAAGAAAACAACTACTGACCAGGGAAATATGAAAGCTTGGAAACAGAATCTGACTCATTCCTAGCTAATCATCATCATCACCACCATCATAAAATAATTAGCAATTTTAACAACTGAAGGAGCATCTCCACCCCCATCGTTCTACGCTGGACACTACCAGGTCCAGCGCCGAGGGCCTTCTGGCAGTTCCCTCACTGCGAGAAGCCAAGTTACAGGGAACCAGGCAGAGTGCCTTCTCGGTAGTGGCACCGGCCCTGTGGAATGCCCTCCCATCAGGTGTCAAAGAGAAAAACAACCACCAGACTTTTAGAAGACATCTGAAGGCAGCCCTGTTTAGGGAAGCTTTTAATGTTTGATGCATTACTGTATTTTAATATTTTGTTGGAAGCTGCCCAGAGAGGCTGGGGAAGCCCAGCCAGATGGGCGGGGTATAAATAATAAATTATTATTATTACTATTATTATTATTATTATTATTATTAACTAGCCTGTCTACCTTGCGGTAAATTCTATTGAATTCAGTGACACTTATTTCCAGGTAAGTGTTTATAGAATCACAGTGCAAACCTGTCATTTTTTGATGCGCATCTTCTCACCCTTACGGGTGCACTAATCGGGGACATTAGCATACCTAGTAGGGCAGCGCTGAGAAGCATGTGCTGTCATTTCTCTATGAAGTTTAGCTTGTTTTATAAAATATAGGCCATTTGTTCCTTCCATTGCCAATCTGTCTTCCCCCCTCCCCCCCAGAGCACTAAATCTAGTTTTAAAATTAAAAAGAGTTTTATTGCTTTTAACCATGATCTTTTATGATGGAGAGCAGCCAAGACAAACTGACTTGATGCATCAACATTCCATTTTCTGTTTTGCATAAATCACCAAGGCTGAGAAACATGAGGGATATGGGGGGGGGGGAGGGAGAGAAAGAAAGAAAGGGATGATGATGCTTAGAATGGATCGATCTGAGCCCAGAAAATTCTGACAAGTAGAAAAAGCAACTGAAGCTGCAAATAAATCCTTTTGTATAGGGAAGAGGGATTATAGGATTAACTTCACATGTTTTGGATCTGAAACCATTTTTGTTTTATATCATTACCAGCCTTTTATAGACTAATTGAGTGGTGTGGAGAACAGCACTAGCTGATTTTTTTAATTTATAATATATATATATATAAAGAATTCATGATTAACCCAGTTTTGTCTGAGGAAACAATGGGCCAAAATTGTGGCCTTGATTACACTCGTGAAATTCACGACTTTCATCAACAACACTGTCCCTCATGAGCATTGGAACCTGTAATCAGAAGCTGATTTGCTGTTGAGTAAGGCGATGAGCAGGATATTAAGGAGGAAAGAGAAAACGCTAGTCAAGAGAATGCAAAAGAAGATTCCTTTGGAGTTCAACTACTCCCTGTTCGGAATTGAAATTAATAGCCTGATCCAAAGTTCTTTGAACTGCATCCATAATAGGCCAGCGACAAGTAAAGCAGATCTGTTCCCCTCAAAGGCAGGCACAAGAACATTAATGTTCGGCAAACTTTTCAGTAGTCTGCCATATATAGCTTATGGGTTGTATTTGACTTTGTAGGGGAGAAGTGGAGTCATCCGTTCCCCTCTGTGATGTATGTGAGTGTCTCTTGAAGCATTCGGCTCCCCGCCTGAATCTTACTGGGAAAACCAGATGTGATTCTAATTGTGTGATTGCAATTAATATGTCCATTTTTCTGCTTTTAAAAATAAATAGCAGGGAGCTACTGGATCAGGACTTCAGCACACGAGGAGTGGGGATATAACCCATCCCTGCCTGCTGAGGTCTTGATGGAAAATCCCACAATGCCCAACTGCTATTAGCCCTGGGAAGGAAACTTCCCTACTATCAAAATAAATCTACATTGGAAGCATAAAAATATGCCCCCCTCCCCGATAAATGAATAGACAACACAACAACGCTTGCAACCTATGAACAGATCACTTTCAGATGAAGGTGATGTATGGACAAATTTAATAATATTTGGAACATATTTATCGAAACCATAGTGACTCATGAACTGATGTATACTTAAGGGAAATAATAAGTTTATCTACCCACATATATACTACATAGTTCTGTAACCTTAATTACATGTTATTGTTATTTCATTATTGTTTTTCTCTGTCCCCCCTCTTCTTTTTTCTAAAAAAGAAAAAAAGAAACTTCGCTACTAGTGTGAATGACAGCATGGGATGGAGTTGCAGTGTGTCTCTGTGTGGTTAACTCCCTCCCTCTGTATCACAGCCCTGATTCTGACAGTCCCTTCATGTGGCTATTCTAGTTCATGCTCTTGTTGCAATAAAGGTCATGCTTACCAGTCCCCACCCCACCGCCCAACTATTCGACCCAGGAATGAAGCATCCATTGGCACCAACAGAAACATCCATCCCAGGGTGCAGAGCAGCACAAGTGGGGATTTTCATTGGGACCATGTATGCAATTAACACAACTGACCCTCAATCAGCCATGTTTTCTTACGGGTGACTGTGTCTTAAGACATTGGTCATCTGCCTGATTACATGGTATATCACATTATGTAATAATTACATACACAGCTCAACAAGACAACAACTGGAACCCACCAACAACGTATGAATCAATATGGCTAAGTGGACCTAACAACCCCCCTTCCCTCATAGTAAAGGTAAAGATACCCCTGCCCGTATGGGCCAGTCTTGACAGACTCTGGGTTGTGCGCCCATCTCACTTAAGAGCCAGGGGCCAGCGCTGTCCGGAGACACTTCCGGGTCACGTGGCCAGCGTGACAAAGCTGCATCTGGCGAGCCAGCGCAGCACACGGAAACGCCGTTTACCTTCCCGCCAGTAAGCGGTCCCTATTTATCTACTTGCACCTGGGGGTGCTTTTGAACTGCTAGGTTTGGCAGGTGCTGGGACCGAGCAACGGAGCGCACCCCGCCGCGGGGATTCAAACTGCGACCTTTCGATCGGCAAGCCCTAGGCGCTGAGGCTTTTACCCACAGCGCCACCTGCATCCCTACACCTTCCCCTCATACACGCAAACAAAACTCACTGCAGTCAACTAAAGGCAACCAAGCCATGCCCTGGGCCCCCCAATCTCTCTCACTGCCAACAAAAACTAATAAATCAATACAAATGGAACCTGCCCCCATGATGCTGACACAAAAACCTTACACATACACTATATAGAACAGGCATAGGCAAACTCTGGCCCTCCAGATGTTTAGGAACTACAATTCCCATCATCCCTAGCTAATAGGACCAGTGGCCAGAGTTTGTCTATGTCTGATGTAGAAGAATTAAAGTTTACTACCCTCCTTCTCTCTTCTCCCCCAACTTTATACTGTCTATAATATTAATGTATCCAATCAAATATGACTGATCTGTAGATCAAATTCTATGAACTGAAAGCAGAGACACTGTATGTACTTCTGTAACCCAATAATTTTTTAAAAAATAAAAACAATTAAAAAATACACAAATGCACACATGAAACATAGAAACAATTTGACACTGAAACCAACCCCATGTTGTAATACTTGTGAATATTACATGGTAGGCTGGCTCACCCCCCAAAAAATAATATTACTTGATATCAAGTGGTTCAACTAGTCATGTGAATTGGTGCAACCTGTCATGTCATGTAAGAGAGCATATCACCACAGGAATATGACACAGTAAATTAAAAAGAAGCTACAAACTCTACAATTCTATGAGTCTATACCAATTTTACATGGCGATATCTTGAATGACTTTTTAGGCTTACCTGCTTGTGAGCATGATCATAGGAATTGATGTGGTTGTCAAATTCGTGGTGCTTATGGTACTGCTTGTCACATAATTCACAGTAGAAGTTAGCCTTCACATCCTCTAGAGCCCTTGCCGCTGCCTTCTCCTTTTCAGCAAAATCCTAGAAGGGCAGAGGGAGAGGAAAAATATTTGGTTATATCCAATTGCCAGTTTGGTTATTGCCAGTTTTTCACCACAAAGTCCCATGTACTTCCCAGCCCTATCATTAGGCAGAGTGAGGCAGATTTTGAGTGACATATTTTTACTCCCAGGGAGAAGTGCTGGTGGGGTATTCTTTCAAAAAATGGAACCAAATCGCATGGTTTGGAAGCATGCCCAAGTCTTTTCTTTGTTTAAATTACGGACACCCCCCACCTGCCACAGTGCAAGCAGAGGTAAGATATCAAAACCACAACGGCAGCTTATTTTCCAACTCTACAATCTTGTGGTATGGAGCACAGCTGGGGAGGGAAAGATTAAACCAATGCTTCCCTGCACACTGCAGTCACAATGCAAAATAGGAAGTGGTCCTGCACATAATTAAACAATAAAATACCTGCAAAGGTATGCCTCAGAGTGAAACTGGCTAGTTTGACTGTAATTTGGCCAGTCTTCAGCAATCTACATCTAAGTATGAGAGAGAAATGAGATTCTATTCAACTTTAAATGCAAGCCTTCCAAAACTCAGCCATCTTCTGAAATGTGCACGCCTCCAAATTTTGCAATGCAAGAAAATGCATGCAAAATGCATAAACTGTTCATACAGGTGAATACACTAGTGAAAATAACATGCAAAATGTCTTACTTTAGGGGAAATCACTTTTCAAAAATGTGTAATTAGGCAAAATTGCATATACCTATCCCTATCTGCATCTCGACTTGGGAACCGGTGATGCCATTAGCTATTTTTCCTTAGGCAGCAAAATATATTGGGTCATGGGGTTCTGGCAGTACCATGGAGGTCTGTAGTAAGAAGTTAGCATCTAAACCGCTAAGCCTGATGAGTGGCTCAAAGGTAAGATGGGTGACTCACTCGCTGTTCTGAAAAAAACAACAACACTGCAGTGATATGAAAATGCTCTTCAGGTTGATCTAAAGGAATTCAAGCGAGCCTTTTACTGGACGTCAGTCTTTGCGGGCAGATTAAAGCAGCATTTACCCTCTAGACTAATTACTCCTTCAGCTGTACTTTAAAACAGCACTCAACAATGCAAAAGAACAAGAGCACAGAAAGAGAAACATTATAATGACAGGATGTTACAGTACAATGATTATGGCCACTAATCCCCTTATCAGCACAGAGTGCAGCTAAGAGAAGCAAAAATGTATGAATGTGTACACGTGCTGGGGGAATAAGCTAAGCCTCTCGGGGAATGCTAGTTTTGCCAATGAGTGTTTTACATGTCAAAGCTTTCAGCTGCCATACTGTACCATAAAAGTTGAGAACCTATTTTAAAGCCAAGGTGAAGCAAGGTGCCTAGAGGGAACAAGAAAGTTAGGGACTCCTTAAGGCTTAAAATTAGGAGAACAACTCGGGTTGCAGTAATAGCAATTCTGCTACGAATTGATTAAATAAGATAAATAAGCCACTGAGAGACTGGCAAGACACAGGAAGTGCACATTCTTATTTAATCAATAACGTAATTTTAAAGTTAGTGGGGCATAATCCAGCAAGATGAAGTCCAATTGAAACAACGGGAGTAGCTTGAAAATTTTATTTGTTGTACCTTGCCCATATGGAGAAAGGGCAGGTTATCAATTATTTTAAATCAACTGACCAATAATTGCCATGATCGAGCTTCTTATCTTTTGCTTTGAACTACATTGAAAATTACCTTGTGCTGATCTGTGACCAAGCCATTGATTGTCAGGGTGAATGTATTTGTTAGTTTTAAAAAAATCATATCAGTCCAAAACTCTCAGAGCAGATAATAATAATAATTATTTATACCCCGCCCATCTGGATGGGTTTCCCCAGCCACTCTGGACAGCTTCCAACAAAATATTAAAAATACAATAAAAATAAGGTAAAGGTAAAGGGACCCCTGACCATTAGGTCCAGCCGTGACCAACTCTGGGGTTGCGGCGCTCATCTCACTTTATTGGCCTTGGGAGCTGGCGTATGTGGCCAGCATGACTAACCTGCTTCTGGCGAACCAGAGCAGCACACAGAAATGCCGTTTACCTTCCCGCCAGAGCGGTACCTATTTATCTAATTGCACTTTGATGTGCTTTCGAACTGCTAGGTTGGCAGGAGCAGGGACCGAGCAACGGGAGCTCACCCTGTCGCGGGGATTCGAACCCACCGACCTTCTGAATGGCAAGCCCTAGGCTCTGTGGTTTAACCCACAGAGCCACCCGCATCCCTTACAAAAAAAAATACAGGCATGTTTATTTGAACACAAGGATACCTAAAACTCCGGAGTCAAAACAGAGCAGCAGCAGAGACGATAGAAGCCTTATGTAGTTCAGGACCCCAATATTTCAAGACTGCCTTTCCTGACATGAACTGATCTGGACTCTGTGATCATAATCCGAGGCCCTTCTCTGTGTGCCCCCTTCATGGGAGGTTGCAAGGATTGCAACATGAGAATGGGTCTTTTCAATGGTGGCTTCCCACTTGTGGACTGTTCTTCCCACAAAGGCTCATCACTATCAATTTTTAGGCATCAACTTGTGGAGGCTGTTATGAGCCAAAGTGGGGCAGGTGTGAAACCCCCAACCCCACTCCTCTCCTACTCATTGACAGAAAGCAACCCGGTCAGCTTTCTGTTCCAAATGCCTTTCTCTAAAGAGAGAACGGGACAAAAATGCCCTTTACAGAATGCCATCATTGCCGCTTCTTTCCGATTCCTGCTTTCTATATATGCTCCAACGAGGCACGGCTCCTATTTTTTTTAGTACCTGTCTCCGGTGAAGCATCATGCTTATTCCTCCCCTCCCCCTTTTTACCATTGTTAGGGGGTTGTCTGTTTGAAATGATTTTAGTGTGAGTCAACGGTGTTGTCATTATTCAGGGTTCAGCACCTTCCTCGGGGAAGTTAATTCCTGACTGTGTGGGTGGAGGCATCTTGTCTCAACTGAACACAGATAAATGCACACGCACCATGCCGCGCACAGCCTGCCATTTCATACATGTTAGCTGCTGAGCTAAATTGGAGGACAATTATGTTTTTCTAATACATCTTGAACCAAAAAGAACAAACATGCTCTTGGCGTTTAAAACAGCAGGCCAAATGCACTATAGATCAGGCTGCATTTAGGCTGCATTAGATCGTGAAGCTGAGGCTTCAATACTTTGGCCACCTCATAAGAAGAGAAGACTCCTTGGAAAAGACCCTGATGTTGGGAAAGATTGAGGGCACAAGGAGAAGGGGACGACAGAGGACGAGATGGTTGGACAGTGTTCTTGAAGCTACCAGCATGAGTTTGACCAAACTGCTGGAGGCAGTGGAAGACAGGAGTGACTGGCGTGCTCTGGTCCATGGGGTCATGAAGAGTCGGACACCACTAAATGACTAAACAAAAACAACAACAAATTACATTACATGACACACTGCAACAATTTGTAGTTTTACAAGATGTAACACTAAGGAGGTGGGGTTCACAACCCAATTCATTCCTTAGCTTTAGGAGTGTTACACCAAGATTGTCCAAAAGAGAACACAGTGCCAACTTTGTATGTAAAGGTGCAACTAATAATTGCTATAATTTAAACAGAAATACAATCAGTTCTCCCCCCTCCCAGGGTACTCAAGATACACAGTACCACCACCTTTCCCCCCTAGAAGAAAAGCACTGAATACAATATATCTCATCATAGTGGAAGGTGAGCAGGTGACCTCCAGGTGTTAAATGTTGAAGGGAAATTTTATAGCTCCTCCTTTCCCTTTGTATTGTTTTCCCCATCCCATCTTTTATACTAGCTTTGGATTGGACAGCTCTAAAATGGGGGACTCCTGTCAAATAGAAGATTGTCCTCTGTCAAGTAGGATACATGGCTACCCTATCTGGAGGTGAAGGTGATAGAGTTTGCGGGAACAACCATCTTGAAACTTCCTCAGGAGTCTCCCTTTTTATTATCCTTACTTATCAGCAGGTGAGTTCAAAAGCCAAGAACTATTAGATTGAAATGGGGACCTCTCAATGCTCTTTCATTCCAAACCATAGCTGTCACATCCACCCTCTTTGATGAAAGGTTAGCTAAAAAGAGTTCAAGTCATGTTGCCACCACCAAGTGGCTTCCTGCAATCTGGTCAGAAATAGCACATATCTACGAGGTTTCAGTGGATATTATTGAGCATGGGGTATATTGAGCACAGGGCATGGCCTGAGGTCACATGATGTGTCAAATGTTGCTAAAATGAAAAAAAGATCTGGATTTGGTCAGTACCTGGATGAGAGATCATGGAGTAAACTCCATGGAAAAAAGAGTGGGGGCAGGGAAGACTGCATCCATGTATATACCCTAAGCTTTGGAGGGTGCAGAGGGTGTGCCAGGTGTGCTCAGGCACAAACTAATGTATAAAATAAACCAGAGATTATGGCAAGGACAAAAAGAAAATCTTCCCAAAATGAATTGTGTGTGTGTGTATGCACTCAAGGATCACCACCTGAGTTAATAAAGCAAATGAAAGAAAACCACACTATCTCAGAAGCATTTTTTTTTTTTTGGCTATACCTTTTGCCAGTCTGATATTGCAAGTTAACCACTGTTACAATGCTGACCAAATACAGGCATGTCATAGCTGCAAGGAAAATTCAGAGGACGTTTCCCAGCCATTTGAGATCACCATTCTGACTGGCAAAAGATGAACACCACTATATATATATATATATATATGCAGGTTTTGGTGTTCTCGGGTGTCTTCCCGTGTAAAAGTTGGGGTGTCTAGGCGACGTTTCGACGAGGTCTCACTCGTCATCTTCAGGCTGGTGTTTTCGGCTTCTTGTTACTGGAACAGAGCAGGATCTCAGTGTTTGAGTTCCTATAAATACTGTTGAGGGGGTGTGGTGTATAGCCTCCAATGTTCTGGGCAGAGAGGAAGTTCCCAGGCTAGTGTGCCTTTTCTTCTTTTGTTCCTTAATTACTTGAGGGATATCTTGAGTGATTTCTTGAGT